TGTCACTACCATCCTCAGGATCCTCCTTTCAAATATACTTAACAGTCATTCATCCGATCTTAACAGTGGCCAGGTCTCAGAGGCATAAGATAGCACTGATCTTATAAGTACTTTATATATAACAGTTTTGGTTTTCCTGGGTATTAGTTGGGATTTCAGGTGTTTCCTAAAGCCATGGAGACATTTATTTGCCGCGAGTACATGCTTTTTTGTTTCGTCACTGATGTCATTTTACAGTTAACTTCTGATCCAAGGTAAGTAAAACTACATACAACCTCAAATTTATATGAGCCAATTTCAATATATGCAGGTCCATTAGCACAGTCTTTCTTGGTTACCAGCATGTACTTTGTTTTATTTTGGTTAATTTGTAGATTCATCTTTTTTTGCTGCTCTTTCTAAATTAAGAAAAGCTTCTTTCATAGTCTTTTGTGTTCTACCAATTATATCAATATCATGTGCAAATGCCAAAATTTGAACTGACTTACAGAATATAATTCCCCTTGTGTTGATGCCTGCATCTCTAACTACCTTCTCTAATGCTGTATTGAACAAAAGGCAGGCTAGGGAATCCCCTTGTCAAACTCCATTTCTAGTTATTATAGGGCTAGACAACATATTCTGAATACTAATTTGGCATTGGGTCTTTCTCATAGTGGCTCTAACTAAGGAGAGTAACTTCCGTGGAATGTGCACCTCTTCCATTGCCAGAAAAAAGACTATATCTATGGAGTCATAGGCTGATCAGAAGTCAATGAAAAAATGATGTGTTTCAATTTGGAATTCATTACACTTTTCAAGGACCTGGCAAATAGTGAATATCTGATCATTAGTTGTTCTTCCTTGACGAAACCCACAATGGTAATCCCCAATTATGCCTTCCACAAAGGGAGAGAATCTGTTAAATAGAATATTGGAAAATATTTTCACATACTCACATAAGGAGCATATTAAGTAATTACTTTTCTACTGAAATGTCTGACATATGATAGTGATACAAAAACTACCTGCACTTTCACTCCTCTCTGCAGAAGGTACAAGACAGACTGATGACAGGTGACTGCACTGAACCCTGTAAGATGACATGCCAGTACATTGCCAACACAACCTTGGATACACTGAGTAAGCTGCTCTGAATCAGAGAACATGGCTGCACCATTTCAAATTTGCACCAAAGAAGAACAGAGGTCCATGGTTCATTTTCATTGCAGAAGATGTTAAAGGGCTTGATATTTACACACACTTATGTGATTACTTTTGGGAAAATGCAATACCTTGGTGGAGTGTGCATGAATGGGTAGATGCACTTAAGAAAGGCAGGATAAGTGTAAATGATTCAGAATGCTTTGGATGCTAATCCAGAGTAACAAGTGAAAGGTATTCTGACATGTTACAAAACAAACTGAGGCCAGCCATTCACAAAAATATAATGAGGAAGATTCCTGNTGGGCTGTAGTATGAACTCAAGTATTGTCATACAAGATGAGAACATCCTCCAGGAAGAAAGCAGTCTTCTGGGATTTTGCACCGTGTATATGTGGTGTTAACCGACTGCTTTTACCGGTTCTCACGGTCTCTTTGCTTGCAGATTTCTTATATTTTTTCTTCTACCCTGAAGATGGAGGTGATACGTTCCTCCGAAACGTCGGTTAACACCACATATACACGGTGCAAAATCCCAGAAGACTGCTTTCTTCCTGGAGGATGTTCTCATCTTGTATGACAATACTTGAGTTCATACTACAGCCCATATTATGAAAACAGAGCTGAAATTTGAAGTTCTTGACCATCCAGCATATTCTAGAACTTGCACTTTCAGATTTTAATCTGTTTGGACTTCTGAGGTCATCATTCTGCTGACAATTATGAGATGAAGGAAGTGGTGCACATGATTAGCTTTGCACTCAATCCAAACAGTTTTTTTTTTTTGAAGGCATCAGACAAAATGCATTGAGATATGAGGAATCTACATGGAAAAGTGATACACCTACAAACTTCCATGCTGAATTCAACTGTAAGGGTGGGAGGAAAGTGTTGAAACTTTCTGAATATTGTACAGGTTTCCCTTAATACATATAATGTTGGTATTTCAAATGTGAATATTTACTGAGTATGATAAGAACAACAAAATTAGCTGACAAAAGCTTCTAGTAAGATGAATAGGCCTGCTTTAGGGAGTAAATCAGCTGTCAATAAATTTAGTTTAAAAATGACTATATTAAGAAAATTTATTATGGTACTTTTTTTTTTCCAAAATGCCTATTTAGAGAAATAAGAGAAACTTCTGAATAACAGGCAGGGGTGAGGTAAAGATGCCCGTTAATGTTGCATTTATGTAATTTTTTAAGGATGTGCTGATAAAAGTAACCACATGCCATTAATAAATAATATACCCATTCTGGGACTTTCATATGCTGATTTCCCAGGGCACATTCATGCATGCATGCACACATATGCACAGAAGCACACAAATTCTGGACTAGTAATTTTGCTATGGTAAATCTTTAGATGATGTAGACTACAAAGTGAAAGAAATGTCAATTTGTCTAGCAAGTGTGGGGTTGCTGCCAGAACTGCAGCAATAAAGAATGGATGTAACAAAATGATACATAAAGAAGTTATTTTTTAACTTTGTAACAAACTGAACATTTAACATAACAGAACATTCTAAGACTAGATATTAGGCTTAAACATTTTTTAAACAGCTGCTTATGTCACAATATGCGGTTTATCGTTTACCGTAATAATGATAATAAATAACAAACTATTGACAATTTCCTACCATTATTAACAGTGTAAAAAAGAGAAGGTATAAGGTTTAAGGAGGTGAAACATAACACAACTTTTCTTAATATGATATATAATACAGTGCATTATATAATTCTCAGCTGAAACGTAATGAGCAGTTGTATTTAGTTAATGATCTTAATGTGCTTAAAGGTGAACCATACAGATCATGTTCTTACTTTCAAAAAGTGTTGTTCCTTGCTGACTCCACTGTCATGCCCAAGATCACTTCATTCCACTTCACTTCAGTTCACATGGCTTAACAGGAGGTTGGAGTATGAGGATTATGTTGGATTATCAGCAGATTCATTCCAACAGTCTGTTTCTCAAATTCACTTACATTATCCCCTTCTGTGACAATGCATCAATGGTCCTGAGAAATTGGAACTAACCCATGTCCATTTTCAGCATTCTGTAATGATGAAGTATTGAGTCACAATCTTACAAAACTATTATTTGCTATATTATAGTATATCTGGTCAACTGATGGTAGCATAATTATTTCATTAAGTAACATGAAGATTATATTGTGCAAAAGCATTTTTATGAAATTCTGCTCTTTAGGGTACTTGATGTGAACATAAATCTTGCCACAGAAGGGGGTTAAAAAGTGAATATACATCAAATATAAAGCTCCTGGAACATTCTAATTTTGGAACTCCATATTTTATGCAGTGCTTCAAGAATTCATGCTCTCCAAATCCTAAACAAAATATCTTACAATTATGTTGAAACTGACCACATACTGTGCTTATGGCATATGGGTACATAAGAGACTAGTGAGTAATTGACAGTTATTATTGGTGGCAATAGTACAGACAGTTTCTACATTACTTGAATATACACTGACACCATAGTTATGCATGCAGTAATAACATTTGCATAGGTTGTAACAAACATCATACTGTATTCTTTCAACTGGATTAAAACTATATTTTGTCATGATCTGAACCTGGAACTGTCCATGCAAGTCTCTTATCCCTTAGGTTACTGAAATATTTCATGGCAATATTCTTCTCCCATTTCATTTAACAACTACCATGTAGCAGTATCATTGTTGGACTGAATGTCCTGGGGGCCTATTTTACTGTACATGAGCGTATTGGTTGAAATAATTGTGTTTTTATGGAACACCTCAAAGAAAGTCAAGCTGTAACATCTTCCTAGCCTCTGTTCTCATTACTGGATATGAAATAAGTGGAGTGTTGTTACCCAAGCACTTCCTACATTAGTTTTACATTCATACCATGACATCTCACTTGTGGGTAACCGCATGATTTGATAATTACTGCATGCTTAAGAAAAGAGGTAACTGTAATCTGTTAATTTCATGACATTCAGCCCAATGCAAATGTGTCATAACACTTGCATAGAAAGTGGGAAATCTAGATTAAATTCCAGGTAGAGATAATATCATTTTTCCCATAATGTAAAACTATGTTCTGCTGCCAGACACAACATTTCTACCACAAAATTTCTATGAATTCCTATCTCTTTATTAGGGTACTTCCCACCTCTGCCTTAAGTAATGAAGTTTAAGAACTTATGCAAGCCTTGTTCATTTCAACACATTAACATCCATATTCTTCCCTGTCAAGGTTACAAAGATGACTGAAACCTGACTCTCATTACACAAATAAAAGTTTGGTTGCCAAATATTCAATGAAGTCAAAAAAATATGTGGACATTATTTATTTCAATATATTTATATTCCTTATTCTTCCATGTAAATTTTATAGGGATGAGTGAAGCTAATTCTCTCATTACAAACATCCATATGACATACATTCATATTGCTCCAGTGAGTATAAAGTTGATACATTGGGTGATGGTGGGCTTTTCTCTTTCCAATATTTAATATTATTCATGTGCAATAATTAAATTTGGCAATTTTAATTTAACCTATTCTAGTGATGCTAACATAATAACATGTCCATGAACAACAAAGTTCTGGAGGTTTTCCGTGTTTGCATGAAATGATTACTCTTGCATCACTTAATATTGTCCATCAGATAACAGTGAAATATTTAATATAATTTCACCTCAGATTAAAAGCTGCAAGAGTGAATAATAATTCTTGTCCAAAACAGCATAATATGATGGCTAAAAGATGTAATGTTTTATGTTTTAAATGGACTATTTCCACATCCTAGGATTTTTGCCTGTATGGATACATGGAAAATAAAGGAAATGAATGAATGAATGTATGTGTGTGTGTACATAACTTCCATCTTCAATACTGTAGCATGTACAGCTGTTGCTATGCAACAAGCATGAGACAGGCAAATACACAACAGCTATTTCTGGGCAACAGCTCAGTAAACACATTCGTCTGGCAATGAATATTCAGGCTGTAATAGAAGAAGGTGTTTTCTATGTGGTCTATGATGAGAATTTGGACAGTTGGAGCATTGAGTGGGCTGAATTCTGCACGGGAAGCAGAGAAAAGATGGTGCTATAATTAAGTTGACAGTTCAGTTGTGGGATATTCACCAGACAGTAATGACATGATCACAGAAACTGAAGAATCTCCAAGGTTGAGAGCTGTTACCAGGCAACAATGAGTGAAGACACTGCAGGCTGGAGAAGACTTAGCATATAGTGAATTGAAAAGCGTGGAAATCAACAATAGCATTATAGGTATTTGTAGTTATGTCTTACAAGTGGTCAATAAATCTATTCACCAGTCCATATAACCTGTCTATAGTCACGCATATGCGTAACAATATATTTAGAAAATCTCACTTTACTTGAACGAAAAACCTTGCCTTTGAAGGCAGACATCAACCCACAGATGCCTGGATATGAGTTCTGAATTTGTAAACACATTTTTTATGTAAATAACATTCCACAATTCAATGATTTTTAACAATATGTGCTTTTATACATGTCTCTACAGGGTTAGCCTATTTATTACCAAAAAATTTTTCTCAACCACAATCTTGTTTTTCTTAAAAACACTAGGCTCAAACTAAAATATGTAATATTCTATCTTATTCTCCTTAATATGTCTGCAATTTTGAAATAAGTAAAAAAGTAGGTAAAAATGTGTTTGAGGGGAAAAGATGCATAAGTTCTGAAAAGATCTGAAACTCTAAATGACTGTCAGCATATCCTTGAGCAGAATAATTTTGTTTTAAATCAGGCAACCTTTTTATTTAGCCTGGGCAGTCAAATATTTTCAGTTACAGAGATTTTGAAATGGGAAATCAGGAACTCTAATGCAAAGTTGGCAACGTGGATATCAGACATCTGGACAATCAGTTTACCCTATGGTCTCATTGTCATCTCATATATCTTATGCCGACACAGGCATCTACAGATTTGTTCAACTGTCCTCCTCCAATAAGTAAATCTTACTGCACGCACCAAACTAGCAATAACAACAACAAGAACAATAACATTCTCCCAAATTACTACAGATTATTAACATAAATTTCCATATCAAGAAAAGCTTTCATATGGTACACACCTCTCCTTACTACACACATTCTTATGGAAAACTGGTATTCATATATTTCAACATACAACATGAATGCATTTGTCCATGCTTTCAGCCATTTAGTACTGTTTTATTCATTTTAAAATTACTGATACAGAACTGGCATATTATAGACTGGAAAATAATAGAACTCCATTTGACATATCTCCTATTAAGATGTGAAGCATAAAGTACATCAAAAACGTAATTAATTTTCTGTCTTTCATGGCCATTTAAATACACACAAATATATGCAAGAATTGTTCCATTTACAGTGTTTTTGAAAGATATTTCAAAATTTAATTTAAGTCACAAAATCAGTCTTCATTATATAGTATATAAACATGCTATGAAAGACCTTACATTCATTTAAGAAACAGACCAAGTAGTGTATATTTGATGTTATGTTTTCAATACAACTGTTCATTCTGACTGAGATATTTCACCTAATTATAAATATCTCTGTTTACAAGGGCACATAATGTGAGCTGGGATTAACATTAGCATCTATAACCTGACATTGTGAAGGAAACTTGTGATGAGATTGGGAATTATCAAGAATGATTGTTGTTGTTGTTGTTGTTGTTGTTGTTATTATTATTATTATTATTATTATTATTATTATTATTCCTCTAAGCAAAGCATTTCAAATTTACATCATCATCTTCAGATTCAAAATAATACAGTACTATTGTCCAGTTGTCATATGACATGGACTGTACCAGTTCTTTTAGTTGCACTCTTCAAAACATCGAATCCTGCCAATATTGTTTCAGAGCAGTTCAGTGTTTTGTCAGGTTATACTTTTTGAAACCAGTCTCAGGAGCAGTCATTTGCACCCATTCTACATGCTGCATACATACTGTACAGTGGACCATTTGAATTCCTGTTGCCATGCTGTGCAATGTGACGAGTAACCTAGGCACAAGACTGACAGAATATAAGAACTGAAATGGAGGTCATATTTGTGATGTTATTTTTTAATTGTAAGGGGTTTATTTTCATTTAGTGTATGTTAAATCAGTGAAGTAATAATTTTTTACTTCCTTATGGTATTTTCATAATCGCCCGATTCATTACTGCACCCTGCAGTTCCATATTCCTCCAAAAACACCAAATGCATGCAAATTTTGTTTCTCAAAATGTCCCCTCTAAAACCCAGGTGTATATTTTGGTCCTGAGAATATGGAATCTTTTCTCACAAAGGATAAAACTTCATTATATCTAGTGAAGGGATCTGAAAATGAATTTCTAAAGTGTAAAAATCTGGGAATACCAACTGCACACATCCAAAATACTATTTCAAGAAAATCTGGGAAATTATGTAAATATCTGGTATGTCTATGTAGGAGTAAATATCATGAGCGATTTAGTACTAATATTTTATCCTTTAACTTCAAAAAATGATTTTATGGACAGCCTTATTCCATTACAATACCAAATGGAGAGCATATTAATATGTATGTATGTATGTATGTATTTAAGAATCCCACATCACATTACATAGCTTGCATGAATGTTCTTTCATTACATAACACAATATGTCTACAGCATACAACTGGCCTGCTGATAGAAATATTTCAATTAAGTTTTCTTGGGTTGGTCAGAACATCATGGTTTAATTAAATCTAACAATTTTGGAAGCTTCTTCCACTTCCAGTACAAAAGGTTGATGTAAGATAAACTGGACAGATGACAAATTTCCAGGTGATAATATGGTGAGAGATATCAGGGATGCAGAGCCAAAGTAAAGAAGAAAGAATACAGTGTGAATACTCTCAAAGACTAACATTGTTCGATCTGTATTTGTTAAATGAAGATGACACCCTCAAATTATAGGCCAAAATGGATGTTCCTTAATCTGACTTGCAGAGCTCTTTTGACATTGCAGCAATGCTACTGTAGGAGTCCATAATACACCTGAATATAAAATCTATCCCTTTTTAAGTGATTTGCATGAAAGCTAATTCTGATTACCCCTTCAATAAGCCATGTCTTGGGCAAAACTGAGATCACCAATAGGCCAGACATATACCATACTCAGACAACTAAGAGCCTAGTTTAGTACAAGTGATTAATCATTACCATCCATTAACTGGGTAATCTAATTACACTTGAGTTGTAACTACAACTTTGAGATATATCCATAGAATCAGCATTCATAACAACAGATATGTGAGAAATACTAGCATTATGATATGGACTCAACAGAGTTCTTCCTGGCTATCTAAATTTTCAGTACAGCACTGTCAACCCATCTTCTTTAGCAGGTATTGTTATGGTTTTTTATTTCTTTAATATAGTAATTCTCTTCTGAACCTCCATTCTCATTGGTAACACTTTCATTACTCCTGTCCAAGGATGGATGAACTGAGGCAAATTGGCACAGTAACTCAAATGCCCAAGATTCTTTTATAAAAAATAGGTGACATCTAAAGTTCACCTTTCACTTCAATCCCAAGCACCTGCATGTCCAATTAATATTTAAATACACTGCAAATCTGTGTATTTAGCAACAGTGAGATTAGTGCCTGAAAAATGTATGTGCCAGGCCCCCAGATTCTCTTACTCTGGCATTAGTGCTGCCAGAAAATGCCTTTGAAATCTGCTCTCGGTTCAACTACACAAATTAGTAATATTCTGAATACATATTGCTAACATGACTATGCCCTGCCTCCTTCCCACTGACATTAGTCTGTCCTAATCCATTCCTATTTTATATCACAGAATATCCAATTTATATTATACCAGCCCTGATAAAGGCAGCAGAAGGAGCTTTGGAATGTAGGAATATTATGCAACCATGATGTGACCCAGCATGAGAGCATCATTGAATTTCAAAGCTGAAAAACTTAAGTCTTAAGTAGAGGTATCTGTTTCATGCCATGGACCCTGAAGTCGTTGTCACACATTTCTCAAGCGTACCTTTACTCTCACTGTTAGATCTGACTGCCTTGATGATAGGAGGAGAGGATGCAGCTCCCATTGCAGTCATGGTCTCTGTAGATGTAGGACAGGAAATAGTAGTGGTGGCAGGTGTTCCAGCATTGTTGCACTCAGTTGATGAACTTCCTGCAGTGGTATTATTATTATTGGCACTGGTACAGCTACGACGACGCCCCCCACTGTTCCCATTCTCACGTGTTGGAGATTTCACATCGAACACTGATGTGTCACTTTCTATGTCAGACTCCACCTGCAATAGTTTATGTGCATCACAACACTATCCTTCAACACCATAGATCCCTCAACATATTCCTGGAGATATTTTTAATTCTCAGTTTTAGTTTTATTTAACACAGCTTAGCACTCTTGTTACATTATCTCAAGCATTGGATAGCCATGGCATAATGGTTAGCTTTCCAGTTGCTTATTTGGAAATCCCCATTACAAGTACCAGGCTGGGATTCTGTGATATTCCTAAGTTCCTACACTCAAGTATGGAGAGCACTATAAGACAGGTTACTTACCTTCCCTTTCAACCCCTTATCAATCATCATGATATTCCACACCACTAACTTATTACACTGATAGAACACTGTTAAGTAAACAAGAAATAAACATCATTCAGGTTCACATTTAGAGAGAAATGTTTGAGACAACTTGAAATTTAGTGTTTTTCCTTGACTGATCCTTAAGCTCTACTACTTAAAATTAAATCCTAGATACTTTCATGTGTAGGGTGGTATGCATAATTAAAATCATGGGTTCTAGACTGGATGAGTGGATTTATTGGTGTTCCTTCATGATTACATGCATGAAGTAATGTCTTCAACACTTCAGCTCTTCAGCTGTCCTCTCAGCTGTGGCTTGAATGTCTCACAAATAACTACTTGAATGATGTCTGCCTCTTGAAAGCACAGTAATTCACTTCTGACTGAAGGCTTCTCAACTGGCTTCATTGCCACAAACATGATTACCGAGCTGTTGTCTAGCAATGGATGCCTGACTCTGACTCCACTATTGTGGCTTTCAGGTGTCATGTCACAATATGTTGTCATGGTCATCCATAATATTGTGACATGACTGAGTAGCTTAAGAGGCATCATCCACTGTTATGCAATGGCATATTAAATACACTTTTACATCATTGAACATGTAAGCAATTCAGAATTACTGGGTTTTTGGACTTTTCCCATCATCTGGTATTCTAGAAACTATAAAACATAACATGGGGGGGGGGAGACAATCAGTTGGGTCCCTCAATACTGAATGGAGCACCTCCTCAGTATGAGCCGATAATATTACTGCTACCCGAATCAATTCAGTTATATCCACATACAATATAAGAAATTTTCCATCTGTGAATTGTAACTCATAAAATAGATGTAAATAAATATATTTTATATTACACTTCTAGGATCAAGAATCTTTATTTGTACACAGTCTTTCTCAAAGGACTGAATAAACTACCTCTCTACTACTACTACTGTCTAGTAGTAGTATCTTATCCATGCCCTACGAAGAAGTTAGAATCTTTATCTGCTGCTAATATGGTGTGCATTTCTTAAAGTAAATAAATTGTTTAGAATAGCTCACTATTATGGTAAATGTTCAAAATGTCTCCATTCTGCCCTCAAACAAACTTCAGGTTTCTTGAAATGGTTGTTTGGCGCTAGCTGGAGTTCAGTTGCCTCAATATATGTGACAGTTTCACAATTGTTGTGCTTAAGTTCATTTAACATATTCAGATTACTGAAATACACATTACAAGGTGCGACTGGAAAGTTCCTGTACTAGGTGCAAAAAGAAATGCTGAATTAACCTACACAATTTTGGCTCCTATCTCCTTGGGAACATATATTGTGATTCTGTCATTTTTTCCACAGTGGAAGTCATCTTCCTTAATGCTGTCAAGTATGGCTTGTAATCAATTCCTTTTGGATGTAAGACACTGTTTCAAAATGTCGTCACTTCAGTTTTATTTTCAATTTGGGAAACAAAACAAAATCAGAGAGGGCAAGTAGGGAGGATGGGGAATGATAAACATGTTGTTGTTGTTGGTCATATACTCTGTGATTTTTAGGGACATGTGGGCTGGCACATTGTCGTGATGAAGGAGCAGTGCAGCGCAGTGAAAAAGCAATGAAAAAGAGAACTCCAATAAACTAATATCTGAATACAACAGCTAGCCTCCAAATAATGAGTACCATCAAGTAAACACACCATGATTACAAGAAACAACAAATTTCCTACATGTTATTTAGTATGAATATTTTAATATTTTAACTCAGGAAATAGGCATGAACCATCAGGAATAATTAGTTCATACACACATAAAATACACTTTATAAACTTGTAATCACAGCTGCACATACATCTATATACATATACAACTTTTATGTTCTATTGAATTCATTTTATTTTCTGCATATTTTAATATTGTCATGTGTTGGGTGTATAACATGACAAATAACTTCATGCCTTAGTGGATATAGCGAATTTTATTCCACATTCGCTCTTACAATCACACAATTTACAGATTCACAATTACCGCTATCTGCAGTATCACAAATCCTAGACTGCAAATGCCAGAATACAACTGACTGGTTGCTGGTTAACTCGTTACTCTCTGCTGGCTAGATTGAGAACTGTCTTGAATAGTCTTCGCTGCTCCTTATTTAGCCCTGTTCCAGACAACACAGAAAACAGCCACATAATAGCTACCACTGTTATTACCATCGTCTCTCACAACCACTGCTGTCTGCCGCCATGGTAGCCGATAGCCTAGCAACACTGTTGGGAGTTGTTTACCGCTACGTAGTAACTGCGGCGTCCTGTGTTACGTCACCGCTGTTGACTCATGTTGCATAGCAACCAGTATGCTGGGACTCGGCTAACTTCGGCTCCACTCGGCGCATCATGTCTGGCGGGGGGTGCGGGGAGGGGCGTCATCCATAGCGCAACATGTCACAATATCTTTTGTGTGTGTATAATTTTTTCTGCTAATTTGGCAGATAACTATCCAAACTGGCAACACATCCAGAATGTGAATATACGTATATGAAAAAGGACCCAAATTCAACACCATACAATAAACACAATGGGGTGTAAAACAAAACTGTTCACACACTCTCACAGTCGGGGCTTCCTTTCATGAAAGACCCTATATAGAGGCCCTGCTATAGGGGTTTAAATTATTTTCATAGAGAAAATTCTACGACTATGAAATGTACAAAAATACCTCTAAATTTCTGTACTTTACCTGTCTAGTACCAGGGTATGGAGAAAGGCGCTCTGAAGTATCTGACCCACAGCTAGAGCTCTCACTAAGTTCTGTAGTAAATTTCCTTGTTGCCCGAGGTGAAGGGGGTGGCCGACGACTGCACACCTGTGACTGGATATGTTCACATACACGCCGAAACCGACGAATGTTGCCTGCATTCACATAAATAACACTATGAGCTTTTTGGCTGACACAAGTACTCAGATATTTATGCTCTTGCCGAACCATGTAAAATTCTTGCATACAACTTATCCTCTATTCGTTAGGTATATTTGAATAACAATTTACTAATAGTTCTGTGTTATGAGATTTGAATAATGACATTAATTTTGACTAGTGGCTCTGAGAGCTTTGAATTACTATGAATTCAGTTTTCCAATAACAATAGAACTGATGTGCTGAAGTCAATGGAAGTTTTTAAATACTAATAAGGTGAAAAAAAAATGTGAAGTTGTCCCTGTGCTTAACTAATTAAGCACTATGCCATGAATGTATATGGGAGAGTGGATATATAAATTCACATTTTCTTGACATGGGCACTAATTGGAGGTGAGTAGTGAGCTTCACGCCCCGGCCGTTTTACCCCCCGGGAAAGAGCCCCCAGTACTCATTGGGTCGGAGGCTGGGTGGACCCCAGAGCCAATCTGGATGACACGGAGAAGAGTAAATTCTTTAATACTTATTATATTCAGCAGATGGACTCGATACATAGGACATGTTTCAGTGTATGTGTGTTATGTTCAGGTTCTGTTTTTATTTACAAGGAATGTAAATGCAATTAATATACGTATGTAAGATTTGAGGCTTTCACGGCGGTGACTATGAAGAAAGCAGTCTTCTGGGATTTGGAACATATACACGGTGCCAAATCCCAGAAGACTGTTTTCTTCAATTAATATACACTTATATTGTGACATTACAATGTACAATGGAATATGTAGATGCAGCCATTATTAGGCAACAGCACTGTAATACATGTCTGTGGCAACAGATACATGTGCAACAATAGAAGTACCATTGGAAGCAGTATTTTCTGTGCAGTCAGTACTGAGGTTATATAATGAGAACCTATGCGATTGGCAGTAAACTGCCAGCTATAATATGACTCTGACTCTGAGTTAACTGTCGTGAGGCAGTTGCCAGTCAGTAATGATATGAGCAAGGAAGGAGAGAAATATCCATTGTTGGGAATCACTACCTACCAAAGCCTAGTGAAGACACAGAAGACTTTATATGTGCTGTAGTTATGGTGCTCTTTAGAGAGCGTAAATTAGTGAGATTGTTACAGTTACTTGTAGTTATGAGTTATAAGTGTCCAACAAATCCAATTATCAATCCAAACCCCATGTCTAGTCACTCACATGTGACAGCTGGTGCCAGAAATGGGTTATGATTAAATTCGTGGACTTAGTGAATTGTGTATTTTGAGTTTGAACACATGTGATGGATAAATATGGCCAAATAACATCACTCAAGATCTTCATAATCTAGTTCACATTCCATGATAAATATTAACTGCACTTCATTTATGCACATCCAAATATTACCAGTAATCAAAGACTTGAAACAAGGCATTGAAACCAAGGATTGTATGCTTATTTATGACACACAACATATTTTCATATAGCACAGCAAAACAAATTGTACCTGCTAAACATTCGCTGCCCCCCCCCCTTAAAAAATTAACTCTTGATTGTTTAGATCAGGCATGTCCAACGTGTCGATCGTGATCGACTGGTCAATCACGGGATGATTTTTGGTTGATCTCATAGGCCTATAAGTAAATTATATGTGAAAAGCATGTAAATTCAAGATCTTAATTATGAAGAAACACCATTGTGTGGCGAACAGAAATGATGTGTGGAGACATAACTGAACAGTTGTTGAAAGACGTTTCCAATTGTGTTGCTTTCTCCCTCCAACTGGATGAATCTACAGACATCAGAGACACAGCCCAGTTACTAATTGCTTTTAAAACAAACATCATGTGTGTGTTATTTTTACAAATATTTTTGCTTAAAGCGAGGTATGACGATAGGAGGGGGTGGTAGATCACTGGCAGTTTTGACACTAAAAAGTCGATCACAACCTGTTTGAAGTTGGACATGCCTGGTCTAGATTAATGGATGAGGTAAGTAGCATTGATAGCCCATAAATCTGAAAATATCCACCATCCATGCCATGTACAACTCTGAACATCACCTAATTTAGTTAGTTAATTATTATTCAATAGTCATTCTATTGGTCACTAAACAGTAACACACATATCCTCCCAACAGAAGGCAACCCTTGTTCTTTGATAGAATGGCCCACAAAAGCAACAGAAGAATAAAACAAAAAGTTGCAAGAGGGTGATAAAATGTACAAACTACTGCTAACTGCTGTGGAGCATCACGAACACATATTACATAAACAGATGCAATGGGCAACATTTAAACCGTTACAGGAAGCTATATTCTATACCTTAGGGGTTTCAGAGTTGTCCCATCAATCCAAGTGTGGATAATTGAGAGTCTACTGAACCTAAAATATTTGTAACATGATTGGAGACCTTTATATTTTGATATGAGGGTGATATTATCTTTTGAATAAGTGGCTCTACATTTCTACAGGTGCTTCACATAAAAGTTTCAGTCAGCAGCAAATATATTCAGTTTCATACATAAAAATTCAAAGAATTTGGGACCTGCTATAGCCACAGCAGTGTGGATTGCGCACTGTGGTTTTGTGGCTGTTCAACCATTTTCTTGCTTTTGCACTATTATTATCTGTGTAAAATGAAATCTTCTCACATGATCAGCCATGTCAATTCAGAACAAAAGTCTAATGTTTCAAAGACTCTCTCTGAAACACTGGACTTCTGTTCTGAGTTAATGCTGATGATTGCCTGAGAATCACCTTTAATTTCTGTAACAGCTTCGATTTTTATCTGTATACTCATCAGGATCAGCAAAATTAACTCATGAACCACAGTACTGGAAATAAATTAACAAAAATAAATTGAACATCGTGGATGTTACCTGAAAGCAGAGTAAATGTGATGGCATAGAGGTATTCTTTGGGACTTTCGCTAGCCTGCTTTGTGATGGTTGACACATCCACCTGG